TGCAATACAGTTCAGTTCTATATATCAGTCACGGGTTCCCTTGTTCTCCCCCCTCCTGCCCCCTTCACCTACCCCCCAGCCCACCCCCTATTCCCACCTCCTCCAGGGCAAAGCCTCCCCCGCGTACTGAGATCAACCTGGTAGACTCAGTCCAGGCAGGTCCAGTCCCCTCCTCCCAGGCTGAGTAAAGTATCCCTGCATAAGCCCCAGGTTTCAAACAGCCAACTCATGCAATGAGCACAGGACCCGGTCCCCCTGCCTGGATGCCTCCTAAACAGATCAAGCCAATCAGCTATCTTACCCATTCAGAGGGCCTGATCCAGTTGGGGAGCCATTGGTTCATAGTTCATGTGTTTCCATTTGTTTGGCTGTTTGTCCCTGTGCTTTATCCAACATTGGTCTCAACAATTCTCGCTCATATAAACCCTCCTCTTTCTCGCTAACTGGACTCCCAGAGCTCCACCTGGGGCCTAGCCATGGATCTCTGCATCCAGATCCCTCAGTCGTTGGATGGGGTTTCTAGCACGACAATTAGGGTGTTTGGCCATCCCATCACCAGAGTAGGTCAGTTCGGGCTGTCTCTCGACCATTGCCAGCAGTCTGTTGTGGGGGTATCTTTGTGGATTTCTGTGGGCCTCTCTAGCACTTTGCTTCTTTCTATTCTCATGTGGTCTTCATTTACCATGGTCTCCTATTCCTTGTTCTCCCTCTCTGTTGCTGATCCAGCTGGGATCTCTCGCTCCCCCAAGCTCTCTTTCCCTTGACCCTCGCCCATATAACACCAGTAGCACAAACACTAAGAGAAACAATCAATCAATGGGACCTCTTGAAACTGAGAAGCTTTTGTAGAGCAAAGGATATGGTCAACAAGGTAAAGCGACAGCCTACAGAATGGGAAAAGGTCTTCACCAACCCCACATCTGACAGAGGACTGATATCCAGAATATATAAGGAACTCAAGAAATTAGACATCAAAATGCCCAACAGTCCAATTAAGAAATGGGCTATAGAACTAAACAGAGAATTCTCAACAGAGGAAACTCAAATGGCCGAAAGACATTTAAGGAATTGCTCAACACCCCTAATCATCAGGGAAATGCAAATCAAAACAACTCTGAGATACCACCTTATGCCTGTCAGAATGGCTAAGATCAAAAACACTGAAGATACCTTATGCTGGAGAGGATGTGGAGCTAGGGGAACTCTCCTCCACTGCTGGTGGGAATGCAAGCTTGTACAACCACTTTGGAAATCAATATGGTGCTTTCTTAGAAAATTGGGAATCAATCTCCCCCAAGATCCAGCTATACCACTCTTGGGCATATACCCAAGGAATGCTCAATCATACCACAAGAGCACTTGTTCAGCTATGTTCATATCAGCATTGTTTGTAATAGCCAGAACATGGAAACAAACTAGATGCCCTTCAACTGAAGAATGGATAAACAAAATGTGGTACATATACACAATGGAATACTACTCAGCAGAGAAAAACAATGACATCATGAGGTTTGCAGGTAAATGGATGGATCTAGAAAAAATCATCCTGAGTGAGGTAACCCAGACTCAGAAAGACAAACATGGTATGTACTCACTCATAGGAGGATACTAGATGCGGAACAAGGATGACTGGACTGCTACTCACATCACCAGGGAGGCTACCTGGAAAACAGGACCCCAAGAAAGACACGGGGATCACCCAATGACAGAGAAATGGAAGAGATCTACATGAACAGCCTGGACATGAGTGGGGGTAATGAAGGGCAAGGGTCGAGGGAAAGACAAAACAGCATTCTTTTTCTTTGGATGTGTGTCATTTCTTTTTCTTGTCAAATAACTTTGTCTGTGACTTCCAGTTCTATAACAAAGTAAAGAGGTAAAAGTTACCATCTTGGTTTGTTTCACATCTTGAAAGCAAAATTTCTGGTTTGTTCTTTCATCAGTATAATATTAGCTATGTTTTGAACATGTATGGCCAAGATTACATTGAGATGTGCCCCTCTATGCTTAATTCATCTGGTGTTTTTATAATAAAAAATATGCATCAAATTCCTTTTCTGCATCAATTAAGATGACAATATTCTGTTAATGTGGTGTGTCATATTTTCTGGTTTGTATATGTGGAAAGTTCTTATACCTTTGATCATGGTAAATGATCATTTTTATATTTAGGTGGATTTTGATTTGTAAGCATTTTTATCACCATTTTTGTATCTACATCAATAGTGATATTGGTCTGTGTAGACAGAAGTTTCTCTGGTCCTGCCTAGCCCAGCAGTCCAGACAAATCTCTCCCACCCATGGTCCTATAGCCACTTATAAAAGAATTATTCAGGCCGGGCGGTGGTGGCGCACGCCTTTAATCCCAGCACTCGGGAGGCAGAGCCAGGCGGATCTCTGTGAGTTCGAGGCCAGCCTGGGCTACCAAGTGAGTTCCAGGAAAGGTGCAAAGCTACACAGAGAAACCCTGTCTCGAAAAAACCAAAAAAAAAAAAAAAGAATTATTCAGAGGCTTATATTAATTACAAACTGTATGGCCTAAGGCTTCAGCTTTTGACTAGCTAGCTCTTTCACCTTAAATTAATACATTCCTATTAATCTATATTTTGCCACATGGCCATGGCATTACCGGTCTTCTGGCATCTTGTTGTTCCTTCGGTGGCAACTGGCACCTCTCCCTACTCCTCCCTTCTCTCTATATCTCTGCTTGGATTTCCCATCTGGCTGTAAGCTTTCTTACCATAGGCCAAAACAGCTTTATTTATTACCCAATGGGAGCCACACATATTCACAGCATACAGAAAGAGCTCCCACAGCAGTCTGTGATCGTTTTGTTGTATCTCTGCCTTATTTTGGTATCAGATAATGCTCCCCCTGTATGTCAAGTTTGGAAGTACTCCCTACACTTTAGATTTTAGAGTAGTCTAGAAATAATTAGCATTAATTCTTCTTTATATGTTTGGTATCTTACAACTGTTATCCAGGGGAACTTTTTCTCTGCCTTCTATCATCATAGTAAATCTCTTTGTTGCGTCACAGTTGAGTGCCAGCATAGTAGTCCCTCCACAGGGAGGACTGGCGATAGTCACTATTTTACAAGTTTGTTTCAGCTTTTGAGTAATATGTATCTTCCTCATATATTCTGACCTTTATTGATCATGTATTCTTCTCTTGCATTTTTGCCTATAAGACATAGCACTGGCTGGGATCATACTCCTCCCTAGCCAATATTTAGTGATTGAATTAATGAAAAGATGTTAAAAAGGTTATAGGAATTTTTGAGGTGTCAATTTTACTAAGGAATTAAGGAAAGTTCCTATACTTTTGTGAAAGTGTCAGATACTAGACTCAATGGATCAAGCATTTCAAAGGAAATTAATCCCATGAAGACAAGCACCCATGTGAGAGGTCTTTGTAAATATTATGTGTGTGTGTGTTTTAGAAGACATTTATTCTATATATTTCTTCATAGCATCTTTGCATTTGCATCTGAATCTATTCTGCTCACAACAAGACAATGTTCATTGTAACAGCACTTTGCTTCCCTGGTTTCTGGTCTGGTTCTGTGAGTCCTTTGGGTTAGAAATGGACCCTTCTGTATTGTGTCTTTGCCTTTCCTTGGTTTTGGTTTCACATTTTCACTTTCAACTCTCATGCTGCCAGCTCACTTTATAAGATATAACTACAATGTCTGAAGATTTTTGTGGTAAGCATTCTATGGAGAATAAGAGAATGGGTTTTGTTTTGTATAGCTCTAGATTTGAACATTTCTTCACAGAGGGAGGAACGGGGTTCACGAGGCTTGCAAAGCTCACAAGGCTTACAAGGCTCGTGAAGCACAAGATTTGTGATGCTCCCAATACAGGTTACACAAATAGTAAACAGTTGTTAAGGAGGAGTGTTCTGTGGTGCAGCTGGCTGCAAATTGCACAGGGACATGTTGTTGCAGCCTTTTGGGGACATTACCCATGTTGAAATAAACTTGTTGGTGATGCAGCTGCCTACGTTACTCATGCCTCTGCATGTAACTTTTCACCCATCCTCTTACAAATGACTCCAAAAAACTTATTTGTTCATTCATCTGGACCAAGTGTGATCTTCACTTTACCTATGGATTCCTTGAGGTGGGAAGGACATTTAAAGAAGAAATGGAAGTGTCTTTCCCAGCTTGGATCAGAAGGTTGTAGATGGGAATACTTTGAACGTGGTAGAAGTTGAGAAACTAAGCATCATTTCTTCGGACAAGGGCTGCACAATGTGAGGCAAAATGAGGGAAATGAGCCCTGATGGACTGGCTCATAAAAGGCATTGAAGGTATTTGATTATCACCAGATGATCTTGCCTACCCTTTGAAAAAAAAATGGTAAGATTTGTTATAGTAACTTTTTAATGTTACTGAGACTTTAAAAGCATCTGGAAGAGCAATGGAAACAGCAGTTAAAGAATGTGAGGGCAGGAACTCTGTATGGGTGGAAAATGTCACAACTATGAGCACAAGGAGGTTGCATGAAAGTCGTGTCAGAACTACGCTACCCATCTATGATTGTAAGTCCCCAACATAAAGCAGGCTGTGGCCACTGCTATTGACTGAATGTCAGAATGTATACTAAGCTTCTACTGCTGAAGACACTGCACATTTGGGTTTCAGGGCATGGAAGAAATTAGGCTGGGCTAGAACCGAAAGCACTTTCCCTACTAGCTGGCATTTGTAGTGATATGAAGTTGTGTGAAGGCTGGTAGGAGGGAACTGTCACCAATGCTCCTTCTCAACTATATTAACGCCCTCAGTATGCCAGGCAAATTTGTGCCATTGGTATAATGGTATGATTCTTACATATACAACTGACTAGTTTCCAATTGGATTTAAGGCATTTTATCCACGAGGGAACTGTAATCCAGAACAAAATGTGAGACGGGGAAGTCATACACCCTAAAAATTGAGGCTGCTGTTGTTGATTTATTAAGTAGATGTGATGTTTCTGTGAAATTGCCTTCTAAACTTTTGTGCATTTGCCCATAGGTTACAGCTGCTGTTAGCTCCAGTCAAAAGCAATGTTTTCTTTACAGTGTACAGCAGCTACTATGAAGACATAGAACAACTTGAACTGCTGAGAATAAGGAATTATTGATGTGGAATAGCAGCCCAGTGATCAGACATAAATGAAAGAGTAATAGTGCATCCACATCATCCTCTTTAAGGCCTAGGGGACATTATAAAAGAAGGTACAGAAGGAATAGAGGGATGGAGAAAGGAGTGAAATATTATATACCCATTTGAAACATTTCTTCATGGAGGAAGGGTAGGCTTATAAAGCATATGAAGCTAGCAGGACTTACAAACCTCACAAATTTCAAAGGCTCATGAAGTTCACAAGGCTCACGAAGCCCCTCCCTAAGGTTACATAAGCAATCATCAATTACTGGAAAGGAAGAAGGTGCCTCAGTGCTGCCTGCAAATAGTACCTGGGGCTCAAACAATGCTGCGTTTGTGATGCATCACTCACTCTGGCATGGAGATTTCTTGGTGATGTACCTTCCTGTGTCACCCACGCATGTCTGTAAGTAGGCCGTCTCTCAGGCTCCCGTAAGTAATTATAATCGTACTTCTGATTAATATTTCCATTGTTGGTAAAGTTTCTAATGACGTTTGACATGTCATGTTCAATACATTACATGTGAGCTTAAAGTAGAAGTAACAAAGAAGTTGATGCTGGGCAGCAATATGGAGAAGGAAAATGAGCATTAAGAAAGCAACAAATATGTAGAACTGAATTGCATTGTAAAATAAAATAAAAAGTAAATAAAAAAAGAAAAGAACAAGTGTGATGACATTAGCACATGATTCGCTAAACACGTGATCTCTAATTGCAATGTAGTGAGATTTGAGAGTGTGTTTGACTTTGTAAAACTATAGTGGGATGTTTGGAGGAGTTATCTGAAGAAAACCACAATGGATCAACACAGGAGACAGTCACATGCTGTACACTTCAATAAAAGTGTCCCTGGGCGACAACCATAGCATCATGTAATCTTTCCACTGGGGAGCTTACATGAAAAGTCAAGAGATTGTCTTCAGGTACAAGCAACCGTATAGGAGAAGAGCTCCAAAGAAATAACTGACAACAATATCAGCAGAAGATGCAGTGGAATTCACTTCTATTTGCTGATGAGGATATGTACACCACATATATGGGTTTATTTCAGTAAGAGGTCAGTTGTTCAGTAAATGAGGTCTTAGGTAGGCAAAAAATCAACCTTTCAATTACTGGTGTGTTGGAAGTACCATCATACCGGCTCTGGGTATCTGAATTGATGATGCTATGTATTTTAATACACAATGAATATTGAAATTAATATATCAATTTGTTTCATTAACTCTTGTGATAAATATCATGTGTGAAGATTTTTGGCTCCATTTTTTTTTTCTTATTGTCTAGCATCTCAGCATCTGTATAAGGAGCCATTTTTCCAGGACCCTGTTGATGGACATCTTCTGACTGGGCCTAGGTATGATGTGCACTCTGGGAAAGGATTACCTTTGGTAGGATGTGTTCTATAAAACTTTGAAAAATGCCTTAATTTTTTTTTTTTTTTGAGATTTTTAGTTTTTATCTTCTCCCTTATTTTACGTATATTTTTGTTTCCAAATTTTGCTAGGCAATCTAGACTGGATTAGAACTCCTTATGGAGCCCAGGCTGCCCTCAGTCTTCCAATTCTCTTGCTTAGGCTTCCTAAGTATAGATCAAAGACAGGCATCTTCAATATAGGCTTTCTCACTGAGACCTTGTAAGCCACCAAACACATATGAGTTAAACTGCAGCATTGTGGACAGGCATCTAAGGAATGTGTATAGGCCACAAAACCGCAAACAGGAATTAGAGTCTACCATTAATTTTTTTTTGCCAATGAAATTTCTGATCACATATAACTTAGCAAGACTGAAAGAAGCGAAAACTTGAAGAGCGAAATAAGTGACAAAATTGAGTTAGTACGAAAATACTCCATCAAATTAAGACCCAATATCAGATTCATCAGAATTTACTGATAATTCTAAGAAACATTGAAAGGTGAACTGTTTAAAAACACTTCGTAAGATGAGCCTGATCTTGGCACTGAAATAGACATGGGACAATCTTGTATAATATTAGAAGGACCAGCCTTAATATTATCCATCCCAGGGGCTCAGGAGAGAGAACTAGGAATGGCGAGGACTGTTTTCGGGAAATAGAATCTCAGCACACAGAGCTCTTAGTCCAGTCATTTATTGTTCCAAATCTTCTTCTTTGTCCTCCCATGCCTGGGAGTCCCGGTATATATACACTTACAAGCAGTAATTCCTTGGCAGTACAAAGCCAGGCTTCCAGGGTCAAAGGGAGGGGTGATAAGAATCACATAGAGGGGAAGTAATTGTTAATCATCATTTGCAACCCCAAAGGGAAGTGACTAATGAGGAAATGAATTAACTAAAGGCTAAATTTGGGTAATATCTAAGAAGAGGGATCTTATGTACTCTATAATAGTCTTAAACGTGATTGGTGGAAAATGTTAAGAATCTATAAGTTGCTACGTCAATGCCTTCTTTTTCCTGTGGCTCCTATCTGTCCAAGCTATCTGCAGTTTTTCTGCATGGTGGGGGAAAGTGTGCTCAGTCGCTAGGCAACCTGAGTACAGCTAGATGCCTCTGGTGATAGTTAAAGGGAGATCTGGAACTAGAGGTAAGATTTGGGAAAGGAGGAAGTTAAGCTTAATTGACACATCCGCCAGGCCTTCTCAAACAGGTAGTCTGGATGCTTAAATCTGTTCTTAGAGAGTACAGAGGTATCTCTGATAAGGTACTTTCCTCTATCTGGGGATGGACCTGGCCGGATGCTGCTAATGAGGATAATTACAGGGAGGCTTGAACTGAGGTTCTGGCTGTGCATAGCTGTCAGCGCAGGTTATCTAAATATTCCCTTAGTATAGGGGAAATGGTGATCAATAAGTGGTGGAAAAGCTACAATAACACACAAGAAACTCATAGCAGGAAATGGCTGATAATCAAAAGCCAAATATCACCAAGGCTCCTTGAGCCTCAGCTTGACCTCTGGAAGGCCCTTGACTTCTTCCAGGTATTAGCTTTGTCATAATCAGCTGAAATTCTACTTTGTATATTTTTGCAGCTTATAGCAGGACAACAAAAAAGGGAGCTATAGGCCAGCATTCTATTTTTATTATTATTATTCTCTTATATATTAGATCCTGACCAGTTTCCTGTCCCTCCACTCTTTTCAGTCCCTCCCTTTCATGCCCTATCCCCTACCCCCAGATTCACTCCTCCTCTGTTTCCCTTTAGAAAAGATCAGGTCTCCCAGCAATTATCAACCAAACATGACATATCAAGTTATAATAAGTCTAGCAACATCCTCATATTAAGACTGGACCATGCAACCCAGTAGGAGGAAAAGGGTCCCAGGAGCAGGCAAGCATCAGAGACAACCCCCACTCCCACTGTTAGTAGTCCCACAAGAACATCAAGCTATACAACCATAACATATATGCAGATGACTGAGGTCAGACCTGTACAGCCTTTGTAATTGTTGCTTCAGGTTTTGTGAGCCGCTATGAGCCCTGCTTAATTGATTCTGTGGGCCATGTTCTTGTGGTATCTTCAACTCCTCTGGCTTCTAAAATCCTTCCTCTAGGTCAGTATTCATAAAGAACATAGATACAAAAAACCTCTAGCAACTATTTCCAAAGGACACTGAAAAAAAGACTTATTTTCTGTGATCAAGGGAGAATCATCCTGAGAATACAACATACTCAAACCAGTTAACATGATACAACAACAGAAAATACTGTAGGAACATTTTAGTAGATGAAGAATAGTATTTGATAAAATCTAAAGCACCCTTATTATTAAAACCACTGATTTTTTTAGATATAAAATGAACACATATCAGTATAATAAAGGGATCGTATAATAAGCCAATACCTAACATTTAATAAACTTGGAAAATGAAACAATTTCTCCTTCAGGTATGGCATAAAAAGAGGATACTAATTATGATCATTTTTAGTCAACAGAGTTCCAGGAACTCCTACATAGAGCAATTAAGCAGGAGAATGAAATAAAGAGCAACCAAATTAAGAACGAATAATTCAAATTGTCACTATTTGCATATGACAGAAATATATATAATTCCTACAAACTTTAGCAAAAAAGTACTAAAGTAAAAATGAATGTAGCAAGACTGAAAGATACAAAATCAACATGCAAAACAGTGACATTGCCATATGCCAGTCTATACTTATCTGAAATAGAGATAAGAAAACAACTTTTCTTTGAGTAGCTAAAACCATTAAAATATTCAAGAATTATCTTAACCAAAGATGTAAGATGTCCTTCACAATAAAAACATTAATGAAGGAAATAATACAGAATGTAAAAAGCTAGAACCCCTTGTGTTTATAATTTAGAAAAATCACTATTGTCACTACTACCTAAAACTATTTACCTATTCAATGCAATTACTGTACAACTTCATATTGTGTTCTTTACAGGCTTAGAAAAACAATCCTAAAATCTATATGGAAGTATTAAATCTCCTGAGTATCAAAAACATCTTTTGAAAAATGAGCAAAGCAGAAATCTTTGTACTACCTGACTTGAAAATACACTACAAATATCTAATCGTTAAAACATCATGGTAGCTGTCATAACAAAACACACAGAGCCAATAGAATTGATAGTCCTAGAACAAACCTATGTCTGTAAGTGTTGAGAACATGCCTTGGAGAAAGGTCAGTCTACTCAATAAGAGGTACTAGGAAAATTGAATAGCCTCATGCAAAAAAAGGACCTAATCTCTAGTTCTAACCACTTACAAAAATCACCCCAAACTTGGTGAAAGCTTTAAAAATAACTTAAATGTACTAGTCCCAGGACTTGAGGCCAACCTGGTTTATATGCTGATTCCCAGGCTAGCCTTGGCTACAAAGTGACACCTTAACTCAAACAACAACAAAAAAACTTAAATGTAAGACTAATTCTATGAAACTCCTAGAAGCGAACAGAGGAACCACATCAGGACATTGAGAGGAGATATTAGAGAAAAGACTGTCAGGGCAGAGGTCGGGGGAAAGAGAGTACATTCCCACATAACAGCTAGACTGTAAAGTGGGATAGTGCCTCCTCTGACAGCTTGGATGTGACCTCACTCATCTTTCTCCCTGGGCTAAAGACTATCCAGACAGGGAGATCAAGTAATTAATAGGAGAGAAGGAGAGGAGAGTCCAGCATCCTTTAAAAGCCCAGCCCAGTGACCACTTGATGGTCTGAGCTCTGGTGATCCCACCCTGCCTCCAAGGGTGATTTCTGGCTACTTTAGAAACATGTACCTTTGGTTTCTCTGAGTCCTTTTTTTTTTTTTTTGATTCCTGGTATCCAAATCTTTCTTCATGGTCATCAAGGACCAGGACCTGTAGATAGGTGGCCTTTGGCTCCAGACTCCATTACAGAATGGACAAAGACTTTTATTTATAAAGACCTCCAAAGTTATCAGAAAAAATAGAGCTAAAATCACACTAAAAAGTTTCAGCACAACTGAGGAAATAATCAACTGAGCTCAAAGATAGTTTATAGAATGAAGAAAAGTTTCTAAATATGTTTATAAATTATACATCTAAAAGGAGAATTGATACACAGCTTTATAGGGAAATATAAGAACCCAATCACCAACTAATTCAATTGGAAAATGAGCAATAAATTAAGAAGATATTTCCAAAAAGAAGTTGTAGAAAATCCAAATGAGATACTATCTTACCCCAGAAATAATGACTGTTATTAGCAAGACTCGAAATATCAAGTACTGGTAAGAACGTGAAGCTCACTTACTCACTATTTGTATGTATATTAATATAGATAGAGAGTACAGCATGGAGGCACCCTAAAAAATTCAAAATGGCAATCACAGAAGACTCACAAACCCACTATTCAGTATACACCCAAAGGAAACTATATAAGCATATTGAAGAGACATCTGCACACTCATAACTGTAGCATTTATGCTCAAAAGCAAAGAAATGAAGATATCACTGTCCCTTGACCAGAGCATGAAGAAAAACTACCGAGTGAGTTCCAGGAAAGGCGCAAAGCTACACAGAGAGACCCTGTCTCGAAAAACCAAAAAAAAAAAAAAAATTATAGAACATATACTACATGGAATACTATTCAGCCATTGCCTTAGAGTTCATGATGCTAAGCAAAATAAGCCAGTCAAAGAAGGACAAGTGCCACATTATCTCACTCAAATGTAAAATACAAAAAATAAAGAGCAAACAATTTCAGAGTGTTATTCCACCATAGAGTGACTCCATACAATGGCAATGCACTGTCATTTTCAAGAGACTAGAAGGAAGGATTTGAAAGGCTTTGACTGCAAAGAAATAATAAAAGTTTGAGGGAGGTAAATTTGCTTAACCTGATAAATAATTATACAATATTCACCTGTAATAAACATTAAATGTTGTCCATTATTATATATATATTTTGTCATTATATA